AAAAAAAAATATTCAATCTCTTAACTTTATAAACTTCTTGCATATTTAATAAATTATTCTAAACTTTCTTTTTTTCAATTTTAGATAGCCTAAAATTAGACTATCAACTCATATCTAATTTTCAAATTAAATGTATAAAACAATTAATAGAACTATAAAAATATTAAAGATTAAACTATTACATTAAGGAATAAATTATTTCGTAACAACTTTTGTAAAAAAAGAGTGTATCTTTTATCTATATGCAATTAACTGCTACTTAATGAGCCAGCTCTTGTGCATAATTTCCCAAAATATTTAAATCGTTAATTTAAAAAATATCTTGCATATTTAATCTTGCAAATTATTTTAAACTTCCTTTTTATTAAACATTTAGTACACAAGTAGTTTAAATTTACTGAAAGTATGTTTAACCTTCAAATTAGACATATGAAACAATTAATAAATAATGAAAAATATTGTAAAAATGTGATAACACATGACTAACATTATCATTATTATAACATTAAGAATTAAATTATTTTGTAATAATCTTTAACAAAAAGGTATTGTATACCTAATTCATTTGGTTTTCCACAATTCTTTGTCTTTCCTGGTACAATGAACAAAGGAAGCAAACAAAGAATTTATTGCAAAAGCGAAATCTTATAAGGTTTGATTCCACTAATGTAATATAAACTTTAATCTTGGTTTAATTTACTGTTTATCTTTTTCTAATTTTTAGAAAAATAAAAATCATTCTTTAAATTACAAAAAAATAATAAAAAATAAATTGAACCAAAATTAAAGTCAATTTTACATTGATAGAACCAGGTCTAAATAATTGCGACACAGCAACGTGCGAGAAGCATAAGAATGACACAGTTAACAAGCAGTTTTTCCTAAAATTCAATCAATTGGAATGAAGATCCTCTCGTGCATTAAATTACGTCAGAAGACCTCGGAGTCGCGTGCCTCGAGGAAGACCACGGAATTGCACGGTCTTACCTCGCTTGGCGTGTTTGAAGTGGCAATAGGGCCGATCGCACGAGCTGCCGTCATAAAACGGGCAATTTATTGTTTTGAAGTAACCGGTTGAGGGCAACATAATAACTGATTCATCGCACTCCACGCTTCGGGGAGGCCATTCTTCGTGTACGTCGTCGTCCTTCTCACGGTACAATTGTACGCCGCAATTAACGCAACCTGCTGACCGACAGTACGTGCGACATGCTCGGCAAAGTGGTATTCACGCTACTCTCGCACGAGGAGATTTTTGTACGCCGATCGACGAAATGAAGAAGAAATCAAATGCGGCGAGTCCCTATCGAAATCAATTGAAATCCGTCTAGATCGGAGGTTATGGTTCTACGAGTTCTACACACCGCCGTTCGGCGTTCGGTAGTATTATATTCGACGCATGCGAGAGGACGCCACCGTGTAAGCTGCTGCCTTAGAACATATATATGTTTATATATATGTTTTTTATATATTTTTTTTTATATATGTTTATATATGTTCTAAGGCTGCTGCACATAGCTGCGTAGCGACCTCGAGTGTATTCCGTTCCATGCGTGAAGCATCATTTATTATTGTTGTTCACCAGACGTTAAACAAGGATAAATAATACATCATGCACGAAACGAAATGTACCCCTCGTTCTTGTATTCCGTTCTGAACCGTCGACGTGTCAAGTTGTCCTTTGAATCGCGCGGGAATTAAAATACTTGTTCGGAATATTAAGTTAACAAAATTGGGGGAAACTCCACATCATGACTACCTGATGGAACGAAGAGTTCTTATAAGAGTGAACAAGACAAATATTAAGGAAACTAAAGGCCACTTTTTCTTTGATATTTATATCTCGGAGTGACAAGATTTAGCTGAATATGCATGGTAAAAGACGTTTCAGTAAATTTGTTTTAATTAACTTTGATAGCTTATATGTAGATACATTTTTTATGCTTGCCTTTAATCAATAATTTTGAACGGAATCTCATTTTATTAACCCTTACCGTACTAATATGGGTAACCAGTGACCGAGGGATTCCTGTTCGTGCAAGTTTCTTTGAGTCTTTCAGTAATTATAAATTATACTACATTTTATTATTTTCCAAAATAAAGAGTCAATATTTATTCTAGAAAGTTGAAAGTATGTTGGTGAATTTTTAGAAATTTTTTGAATTATTTTGAAGAGGTGAAAAAACGAAGAAATATTTGAAGTGACCCTTGATGGTATAAATATTAAAGCTATAAGTAATTTAATTAAATTTATTAAAAATAATAATTTAAAACTGTAGAATTACATACATAACTAATAAGATTTTATTAAAATTAATTTGTGAACATGAAAAATTATTTTTATACGGTCTATTATGTATAGGGGATCTCATTTCCATAGATTGTCCAAAAATCCCTATAGAGAATCTGGAGTCTTATGGTTGTGAGTTCAAAGTAATGTTAAGAGCTCCAAGTTAATTTCTAAGAAGAGATATATATTATATCAATTGAGACCTCTGCTCCCCGAGGAGGTTATTCATAGGATCAATTAGATCCGTTATTTTCGCATGGTACTGTGTCTCTATATTTGAGACGGAAAACCAATCAAGGGGAAACAGAAGAAGAACTTGGGATCTCTGGCATAGTAGTCTCGTGCGCTACCTATTACGCCATGATCGTGCTCACATTAATTATTTATTTTAAAATATAAGTATTATTTTGATGGTTATTATTTAATGCGATATATTGCTTATACTTGTTGAATTTAAATATCATTCTATATATTTTTATTAGCGGTAAATAAATTTATAGAGTTATATTATTTGAATGTTACTTAGAATTGATTCTAACAATTATTATCGATTATGTAAATTTTAACTTAAAGCCTAATTATATGAAGTTTGTTTAAATGTAAATAATATTTATATTAAATGGAGATTTCTTTTGGGATTTTGTTAGGGTATGACCATGATGTTGATATTATGAGACACTGATGTAACCAGACCCTGACATGTAAACCTGTTTTTTTACATAATAAAACTTGTTTTGCCTAGTGTATGTGCCTTATTGCCTATTGTAAGGTTATATGTATATATAGATTTCTATATATAGATATGTATATATAGATATTGTATTCTATAATTTTATTTGTTGTTTTTTAGATTATAGAACGTTTGTTAAACTCCTTCTGTAGTAATTTTTCTTATTAAGGTTCTCTGACTGCAGTTATGCTCAACCTAATGAGCACATTAGTGCTCACCATTATGAAAATTTTTATGAAAATTTATTTCACTTTTATATAAGATATTCCATAAGTGTTAATGTGCTTATACAAGTTTTTTTATACATTATAAAATGTTTCTCGCCTTCGCTACTGCCGCCGGTCGAAAAAATAGCGACTTTACTTATTTTGCTACTTACTTTGCTCGATGATTTCTTAAAAACGAATGACATTCTTTACACTTATCTAATTTTTTTTTTTTTGACACTCTCCAACTACAAATCTTTATTGTACTCTGGGCATCCTTAGGATATTTCTTGGAGAGAATTTCTCCAATTTAGATCTCCATTTTAGTCTCTATTCTATTCTCATTCACTGGATTAACCAAAAAAGAAGTTTCATTCTAGTATTTTAAAAAAACTTCGATGTTGGCTATAAGAATATTGAATAGAAAAATTGGGATTTATTTATTAAAAATTTTTAATTTTGATTTTGAAAGCTCCTCCATACTTGCTCTCAAGATCAAATAGAAATCACCACTTGATACATTTATTAAAATTTTACAACTTTAACATGAAATTTTTTTTTCTCAAATGTTTTATTTTCAATATTTTACCTATCTAAAACTTTGTTGTCACCTTGCATATATTCGTTCAAGGCTAGTCTTTATATAGTGCTTAATAAACTTTTATAGTGCCTAATATAAACTTTTGTATACATTTTTACAATTTTCAGTTCAAGCAAATTATTATTTGTCAGTCTATACAGCTTTAGAACAAAGTTAAAGTATGTAATATCACCAGTTAAACTGACAATTTAATATTACTGATGTTAATAAGCATCTGTCAATTTAATTTGTGATATTACGTACTCTATGAGGATGAAGATTACATACTTCAGCTTTGTTTTAAGACCGTAGAGTTTCAAGACCATAAATATAACCGCGCAGCACAGTTTGCTTGAACTAAAAATTCTAAAAATTCACACGAAAATGTTATTATAGGCACTAAAACTCGTTTTAACCGAATATGGCTTTCTTCACTCATCTGTGTTGTTACTATGTCATTCGAAATCGTTAAAAACAAATATACGGCAATAGCTACCAGTGCATCATAAACAATTATAGATTTGCGTGATTTTGTTGAGTCACACTTTTAGTTTTATGAAATGTTTTAATTTAAAGATCATTTTCTGATAAAATTAATCCGACTAATCCGACAGCTAGCTATCAGATTATGAAATAGCTATTTCATAATTGTCGAGGGACATGGGGAGTGGCCGAATCAGAAATATTAATGGAATCTACATCGAATCAATTTGATGTTTTCGACGCCGTTTGATGACGATTCCATTATCATTTCTGACTGGGTGGATCACTTTCTGATGAGTGGTCGATTCGTGATCTATGAACCCGGGTTTAATCCGTCTGTCCACATACGCGGTTTTTTCCTCGTTTCCTTGAAAACATCGCTCCATCTAGTAATTGAAGTTATTAATATATGTATCTCTTTGCTTAAGGAGCAGTGCTCTAATATTGTATGGAGCAGGGTTGGTAAAGACTAATGTTTTTTTTTAAGAATAAAACATATTGTGTTTCTTCTTGAATATGTTTTTAATGCTTCAAATATGCTTTAAACAGTACTATAAAAAAACATATTTAAAACATATTAAAAACATCAATTAAACATGTTTTAAACTATTTAAAACACGTTTAAAACATGTTTTTTATTAACCCTGGTATGGAGTGATATATACAGAATCGCAAGGCTCGTAACCAAGTCGCTTATTTCATAATAATTCTAAGAAAATGTCAAGTGTTTCCGTTCTGCCAATATATATTTAGACGTCAATATTTATAAATATAATTACACATTACGCAAGCTATTCGAGTGACAAAAAATGCAATCTTCTTGTTACATGTCAAGTGAAACCTTATTGAGGTGTATACGCAAGAGACGATCGGAGGAAAAACGTATAAATCAACAGATACCGCAAGATTTCATCAATGATGGACTACCTGATTTATTACACATCTGCGCTGATAATCTCTTTCAGCCTCTTTTACGCGTATGCCAAGTACAAGTTTTCCTATTGGAGTAGACGCGGGGTGAAAAGTCCTCCGACGCATTTGTTCTTTGGTAATTTCAAGGACTGCATCACCCTGAAGAAGTCGCCGGGTGATAAGCTACGTGAAATCTACAATAGTGCCGATCCAAACGACCCTTACATCGGTTTTTATGTCTTCCATAAACCGCTATTGCTCTTGCGGGACCACGATCTGATCAAACAGGTGATGATCAAGGATTTTGATGTCTTCCCGAATCGGCGATTTGGTTCAGGCAGTCAGAGAGACCCGATAGGCCTGGACAGCATCTTGTCCATGCATCAGCCTAGATGGAAATACGTTAGAAATAAACTAACCTCAGTTTTAACCGGACAAAAACTGAAAAAAATGATACCACTGATGAGAGAGAACGGAGAGCTCATGTTGAACTTCATCGAGAACCTGTCGACGAACGAGGATGGCTGGAGTGAGTACGAGATAAAAGATATCAGTAGTCGTTACACCACCGATGTTTTGGCTTCTCTGACGTTTGGTATTAACATAAACTCTTTCGACGATAACGAGACCGCTTTTTATAAAACTGGTAAGATTTTGCACTGATTTTATTGGATCCGTAAAACATGCAGCTTTTGTACATATATTACCTTAATTGGTGAAAATTTTTCTGAAATTTCCTTCATAATTTTTATATAAATTTCAGAATTTTTCATAATTTCTGCATTTTATAACTTATTAAAAAATTTCTTGAATATTATAAGAATTAAAACACTTTTCAGAAGTGCAGAGAAAGTCTACATTTTTTCTAGAATTCTTTATACACTGTATACAGTGTATACACATATGAATTCTAAGAACTTCTATAAGATTTCTCATTCTATAATTTTTGAAGAAAGCTCATAAAATTTAAAAAGAGTTTAAGATTTTTTTCAAAAATGTTCATAGATTTAAAATATTTTTGTAACAAATTCTTACAAATATTATTAAATATTAAAAATATTATGCAATATTATAAGAACTTTTTTTATCAAGATATAATCTGCTGGGAATCAGAAAATTCTTTATTCTTCATTATGTATAAAAGAAAAAAATGTGCTATATCATTTATCAGATACATATACATATATAATTATATGCATTATATAAATTACGTAAGATGTTATATATATTTGCACAGGTGTAACAATCTTTAGAGGTTTTATGCGCGGAATTGTATTCATTATTCAGTTCTTCATACCTGATTGGGACTTTTTAGTCGTACCGTTTATTAACGGACCTGCGAATTATCTTCGCAATATTTTCTGGGACTCCATGAATACCAGAGAAAGGCTGGGATTTAAAAGAGGAGACATGATAGATTCCATGTTGGCGCTCAAAAATGGAGAACAAAATCCCATTTACAGTAAAGATTACATTTGACTTATAAAGTTGAAAAGTAACAACTATCGCGTCGCGTTGACACTTATATCTACATAAAGTAGTCTAATATGGTCTATTTTGCTATTAATCTTATAAATTTCTATATATTTCTGCTGTGTGCGTTGAACTTACGATAAATTATCGCAAAAAAGAAGAATAATGGACAGAATCGTAAATTTCTTAGTATTAATTAATACCATCGTTTAATCGTTTATGTCGTAGAGTTTGAAGGAGACAATTTAGTGGCGCAGTCCTCCAGTTTGTATATAGCCGGATTCGAGGCTACCGCGACTACGATAGCTTATACTCTGTATAATTTGGGGCATCATCCAGAGCATCAAGACACTATATACAATGAGATACAAACGCAGTTATCGGGAAAAGAATTGACGATGGATCTGATCAATGGATTGTCTTTCTTGGACTCTGTTGTAGTTGAATCACTGAGACTACATCCTCCTCTACCCGTCACTGACAGAATAACTACAAGGGATTATGAGGTGACTATACATACAAGTAGCTTTATATATTCAGTAAACGAAAATTGATTAAAATGGATTAAAAAAGATTCAATTCATCGCGAATGTGTACTTCTGAATTATTTTTTCGCTAAAATAGGATTATTCTTCTAAATCTATATATTTCTCTAAAAAAGTATAATCCAATTAGCGCGAAGAAAACTTTTACTTCTACTGAACGTGACCATTGGTAGTCGCGAGACTCGCTAGTTAACGGTAGCCGATAAGATGTTAGAAAAACTCACTATTAAACGCGCAAATTTTAAGCGATATGATTCGCCAAATTTAAGTGCATATAATTAAAAAACTATTATAGTCTCGACATTTTAGTATACATATAATTAGGATTTCCTTAAAATAATCTCAGAAATTTATCCTTATGGTTGTTCTACAATGTGTTTTTTGTTTCCTGTTTCTTGCTGTTTGTCTCTTGCTTTCTTGACCAAAAAGGCAAGAGACAAACAGAGATAAACAGCAAGAAACAGGAAATAAAAAGCACATTGTAGAACATTAAGCATTGTTACGGTCTTTTATTACTAGATTCTTTACATATATGCGTCATTTTTAGTTGCCAAATTCTGGATTAATAATCGAGAAGAATATTCCGGTGTATGTTTCTATAAATGCGACAAATCAAGATCCCAAATACTTTTCCAATCCGCAAGACTTTATTCCATCGAGAACAGAAACAAAGGACGAAAAAAAGTTTTACGAATCCTTGGCATTCGGTATTGGACCTCGATCATGTATAGGTGAGTTAGAAAATATTCATATATAACTCGAATGACATTATTTTTTCTTATAAGTGTATATTATTAGAAATTTATATCGCAATTTATATTGAATTTCAGGACAGAGATTTGGCCTATTAATTGTAAAAATGGCGATAATTATGATCATCTCGAATTATACTATATCTTACAAAGCAAATAAGAAACATGACAACAAAGCTATTCACGTATTCACATACGCGTCGGATGGTTTGTATGTTAAGTTCAAGAAACGTAATTAGGCACTTACTTCAAATTAACACAGTGTATTTTACTTAATTTTATTTCCATAATATTAAAGTCAAACGCGTGTGACATATTTTAACCTTTTTATTTTGCACATATTTATCTGATTTAGCTCTCAATAAATATTTAAAAAATGAAATTGACCACAACGGTATAAAGACGAGTACAAAATATTACCAAGATTGTATATTTGTTTAAAAATGTATAATAGAAAATTTTTTATTATTTTTTATTTAAATGTTTATATTATTTGTTATTTAAATGTATAATAGAGATTTTTTTTAAATAATCTCTGACTTAAGCTAGTCACACTTTCCGTAACAGTAACTGTAACGTAGATTTTCGACCAATCGCGTTGCTCGATTCGGTCGTTCGTAATCATAACTGTAACAATCAAGCAACACGATTGGTCGAAAACCTTACTGTTATTGTTACGGAAAGTGTGCGTGACTAGCTTAGAGCTATGGCACATAAAAGACTTAAGCAATGAGATGTAAGCAGTAAAGAAATCAACATGTTGGATTGGCTACTGCCTGTGTTATGGCCTTACGGACTCTACTGTGATTGGTCAATTCGTTTACTGCTTATATTTTACTGCCTAAGTTTTTTTTTGTGTACCATGGCTCTTACGCTTTCAATAAATATTTTTCAAAATGAGGCACAGACAGAATACTCAAAAAAAGATAATCTAATTGTAAAGTGAAATTTCCGGTAACCTCATATTCTAAGCAGAAACTTTTACAGAAAGAGTATTCCTCTTCCAATGCACTGGATTATTCATCAAAAATGTATTGGAAATTATTCTAACAATTTTCCTATTGTATGAAGAGGAATATATTTACTGAAAGCGGAGTGCCCTCTTACGAGTAAATTATATTAGGAACAGCAAGATTTTATTGCAGCAAGATTTTATTGCAGCAAGATTTTATTGCAGCAAGATTTTATTGCAGATGCAAAACGAAAGTACTCTAACTGTAAGAATATTGTGCTTAGCATATTTTTCTCTCGATTTCAGAAGATTCCTCTTGAGGCCGTGTATAAGAATAAAATCCTCTAAAATTTAGCGGTTTCTGCTAATATTAAAATTATTTTTTTTTTGGGTGAAGAGATGTAAAGAAGTTATCGCAAAATGTTATCGCAAAGATTGTATATTTACAAATGTATAACAATATAATAATATATATATCTCTTTAAATAGTACAATACGTTACATTCTTTAAAATCAATTTATTATTACGCGCACATGTCTTGTATAATTAACGGATGAAAGGTGTACGATTTCTATTCAGGTAACTATGCATTATATAAAATATCCGTCGTACACGAATTTCGATAGTGTAAGTCATGTATTCGTATTTGTCATTTGTGCTTTCTTAAGATGCACTCTATTATATACTCGATTTGTCGTGGTTCTCCCATTCACACAATTTTATTATGCAGAATGCCACGAAAAAATTAAATTACATTTTATTAGATTATATCGCAAGTAATGCATGCTAATACACTCACAAAAGAAATATAATGTATTGTTGTGTATATGCATGTATCATGTATTATACTATTAAATATTTATACCTATTCTATTGCGAGGTCAACAGTCTTATACTGTTAACAATTAGTAAAAAGATAATTTCTGAAAGATCTTTTTGAACACAACGTGTCATGCATGACAAGATTCGCAATTATGTGTTACAGTACAACTTACAGTTTTGTTTCATGTTTCACTCGTGTTCGGAGTAATTGACTCGGTCGTAGGACACCATGAGAATTGTTCGAATAACAATTGTTAGACATAATGTTAGACGCGCCGTACTCTGCATTAGGATTTGCGGCGTCGTTCTCTTCATTATTTTCGTATATATGACGCCTCTGCAAGATTTCATCGTAATTGTGAACATGATTGGCCTTCGTTTGTGCTTCTGAATCCGTTTCGTCCTCATTATCAGCACTATCTACATCGCCTAAAAAATTTCAACGTTGTTAAAAATGTGATCCGTAATTAACTTGAGTTGTCTTCAAAATTTCTGCAACGTAGTATAGATTTCTTACAGAAATCCCCAACTTAATACTAGAAGATAGTAATTAATTATTTATTTTAAGTACAATAGTACTTTTAATGCTCAAAATATGTAATTAATCACTACCTTTCAGTACTACATTTCTATAAGCAATTATTAACTGCAATATAGAGAAAGAGATAAGAAGCGTACTCACCGTCGGAGCTATTGGTGGACGGAAGATAAAAACGCGAAGAATATATTTTATTATTTCCTACGCGACGCTCTCGTTCTCTCACGGCGCTGTTAGGATTATATTTGAATTCGCGAGGTAACGTATAACTCCTAGGTAACGAGACTTGACTACCTTCCATGTCGCTGACTTCCGCTTCTCCATCGCCCTCACCTTTAGAACTTTCTTCGACGCCGTTCTGATTCGCATGCAATCTGATGAAATGAAATTTGAATCAACTGATTCTTCCAAATTGGTTGTTCAAACATCGATTGTACTTTTATTACCTATGACTGAGATGTCCAGGCGGTGACCAATGGGGATAATGATGCGGAAGACATCGCGGTGCTAATAATATCTCTGGCGTGTCCGCCCGTTCTCGTTGAGGCGCTGCTCTCCACGGATTCGAGGGATTAGGATAATACGGAGAGGAAGGTGGTGGAGGTAAGAGGCAATGCATTTTGATGGGCGGCCAAGACGATAAGGCATTACCACCGTTCTGCTCGCAGAACGACGGTGGAGACGTGAATAACGGGGAACTCGGAGAGGTATGCAATTTCGTGTTTGGTGGTGGTTGCTGATTAGATGCGGAAGGGGAGGACGAAAAAGAGGATGTAGAAGCGGAAGGAGGTGGGAACAATTTACCTTCTTTGATCTCCTCCTGTATCGCTCGCAATTCTCGAAGTTGTTGTTGTTTTTTCTCTTTCAATTTCTCGCGTATTAACGTGACATTCAACGAGCCGCCGATTGCCATATCAGTTTCGTCTTTGTGCTCGTTGGAACCATCGTTCTGTATTGAGAGATTAATTATATTGTAACAGCAGTCTTATTGCAATGAGCAAATACGCAGAGGAAATCAGAACATAAAATGAATTTATTTATTCCTCACGTACAATACACGTTAGTAAACTACATACAACATAATTTTTTCAATATAATCGCTCAACTTTGTAACACATTTAGTGTAACTATCCATAAGACTTTTGATTCCGTCTGTAAAAAAGGATTTTGGCTGTTCTTAAAATTTGAAAAGCCACACACTTCCTACATTCTAATGGTGATATTCGGTCATTCGAACTCTATACTTGAACAGTACACACACACATTAAATGCTGCTTTATATAAAACATCTAAATACAGTGGCATAATTTAATCAACCTTAATAATAAAATAATACGTATATTTTATTAAATATATTGTGACAATATCATTATTCATTTAAAATATTTATATGCTTTTACATTACTTTGCTAACTTCACATACAGATAGTAGTAATCTAGTGTAATGCAAGTAACTAAATTCGCTATAAAACAATTGAAACTTGAAATTTTCTCACGTTCAGTGCTGGGTTCAGATTCCCATCTAAGCGTCGCCCTATTACTTTATCCTTGTTGTTTATTAAACATTGAACAAGGATGATATGATACTCGGACGGCGCTCGGGTGGAAATCCGAACATGTCCCTGCATACAGTTATGGTTTCTTGCTGCTTCCGATTTTCATTTTGTTTAGTTTGTTAAAGAAAGTCCTGATACAAGTTCCACTTAACGTTCGCAATACTCTTGAAGTAATTTACAAATGTTAATAAGGACAAACGGTGCTTGCAAGTGGCCAAATGGAAGCCTTGATGGGTCAAATGCCAGTGATAAATTAGTTATCTTAGAATTTAGGAAGCGATGCATATATTTTGAGGGCAACCAAAAATCTTGTTCGCAGACAGAAGATTGTGGATCATTAGACAAAAAGTGTAGTAAAACTGTTCGATTATATTGAGAAATGATGTTGTATGCATTTCGCTAACGTATATAGTATTATACGTTAAAGGAATAAATAAGTTCAATTTGCTTTCTAATTCATAGATTTGTTAAAAATATCTACCTGTACTACATTAGAAGATATCGGTTTCTTCCAAAATGGAATCAATTGCCGCGATCCATTGCCCATGTTGAGCCACTGTTTTGAGTCACCTATCGCCGTTACGGAACTCATCACCGTGCTCTGCGATTGCGGCGGTGGCGGTGGTACAAAGCTGGTTGGTTTCTTCTTCTTGCGATTCGGATTTACAACAGCCGTTGGATTTGCGAAACGGCAATTGAACACACCTGGTATGCCGCCGTTACTTAATTTAACTTTCCTCATGCTAATACTAATATTAACTTTCTTTCCCTCGTTATAGTCTATCTGTTTCTCTTCCGCATTGTCCTAAAAATTAAAAAATTTTATAATGATCCCTCCAAGAAAAAATCTGTCTCATATTATACCTGATTCGATAATGTAGTGAGATTCGAACCAGTCATTCTCCCACCAGCCTCGTACCTTAATCTTCTTACATGAAAAAATCTGTAACAAAAATGAAAAATTAATTTAACTGTAAATATTTTCATTATATAGATATGTAATTCTATAATTCTAGTATTCGCTTAATGTTATAATCACTTATTAAGAATTATATTTATTTAATTAAATTTACACTCTAATTACTACACAAATTTCCATTTCACTTTTATGTGTGAATTTAATCATATAATATTACTATATAAATATTAATTAATAAAATAAAGCAAAATACGCTTACCTGTAATAAAGACCCATGAAAAACATGCCACCAAAAAATAAAGCTAGTAGAAGAAGTACTAGAGTAACTGGATGTAGATGATGCTGGTGAGACAAAAGATCGGCACGATTAACACCAGCTATCCACACGCCGATGAGTAAACTGTTCTCCAAGAACATTACAGTGTAAAATATCACCTGAAAGAATAAAAAAACATAACATTAAGATAAATAGATTGTCATTCAGATGTAAATAGTACTAACCATTTTTTGACGATGATTCGTCTCATGTAGATTAACGTATGCAAATATATACACAAAAGCAAGGAGAGAAGCGAGGAAAGTCTTCCTAAGAAGGGAAAGACGCTCGCCACCGTGGAAGAGTCCGTCCGGCGTGAGCAGTAACCACGTCAACATGGATAACCAGTGGAGAGCCATCACGATCAGCAGCCACTGTCCGCCGTACAACGAAGCGTACGCGACCAATGCTCCGACGCGAGCACTCACTGTCCCCAGACGCCAAAATAATTGCGCCAGCACTCCCAACCATGTTAGCACTAAACGTTCTAGATTACGCAGACGCGCGGCACCTTTGCTGAAACTGGCAACCGCCCAGCACACACTCCATAAGGACAGTCCTGCCGACACTAGTGTCAGCTCCTTTAATTTACCGCCGTCCTTGCTCTCACTTTCGTTCAATTTCTCGGCTTCTATCCTATCACCGTCGATAGCGCCGAACAAAACGTAGAGCTGCAGAAGTAGCATTGGAGCGGCCTCACAGAATGCGTGTATCAGCCGTAATACACAGAGCTCCCGTACCTGAGATGATCGAGACTTATAATGAAACGAAAGAGACGACGGAAGAATGTTCTTCTTTCCAAAAATGTTTACGTACCTCGTGCTTCACAAAAGTTAAATTTACTGGAATAAATAATTTGAAGTATCTCCATAGTACACCGACTTGGGTGGAGTGAAGTAATAGAACGCAGCCTACAGTCCAATTGCCAATTCTCTTCACTGGATTTACATGACAATTATTTGGTGCGTTTGTTAATTTACCTCTAGCTCCCCAGAGATACCATCGCAAACTAACGATCTGCAAAAATAATTATATAGTATATAATTATAACGATGAAATTGCAAAACAATGTAGAAGTTTAGTCACAAACCTGAGAAATCAACAGAGAAGTTGTTATAAAAGTGATGCTCAATGGAAATAGTATGGGCGATGTTGTTACTTGATGGGCAAGGGCATATACCATCGCAAAATCAAAGACAACATCGCAGAAATAGGATGCTAATGAAATAATGTTAAATAGTACATCACACAGAGGCAAAAATTCATGCTGATGTTGTAGTTGATGACACTGGGCCATAATGGGCTTTTATTGCCCATTTGGAATATTTAGCAATTTTTTATTTCACTTATCTTAATCCACTCTCCTCTTCCTATAAAATAAAAATAAAATGTTATATATCTTATCAAATTATAAATAAATAAAAAAGAGAAAACATATATTTTTTATTAACAAAATTAATTTCTCCCAAAGATAAAAATATTAACTCCAATCATAAAAGTCAAATTAAGAATAAAAAAAATTTATATATTGTTCTATTATTTTTGCATTATTTCTAACTTTAAATTTTACAAATTTGAATGTAATATTCCTCTCTTATAATTGTTCTTTTCATACAATTTAAATTCTATAAAATACTTTTCTTGTACAATTGAAAATTAATATATTTCAATAATATTTTTAAATAATCAATAATCAATAATTTTAAGTAATCACCTCTTTGATTTTTAATAAATTTAAATAATTATATATAAAACTGAAAAATATATACATATAGGCATTGCAAGACAGAAACATAATAAAAATTACCAACAAGAATTTCGTGTTAAGACGGCTATAAACAAGTCACGACGTTCGATGTCACAAGCGGATTCATTTGTCCGTTATACGCCGGGGGGTCAAACTGAACGTCCGCTCTCGCGACGTCGCAGGATTCGCATTCGCCCTGCGCCCGCATTCAAAACGCACCTACGACACCTCACTCACGACGTCGGGACGCGCACGAACAGATTTTTAAAAGGCCAGGCGCAACGAGGTGGACGCGCAACAATGTCGGCGCGTATAGCGCGCAGCG